AAGAGTCACATACCAGCAGCTATGGGAACTCCGATGAGATTATAAATCAGAGCAAAGACAAAGTTGATCCGGATCCTTTTCACAGTTTTCCTTGATAAATCTATACTCGCTACCACATCCATCAAGTCATCCTGCAAGTCAATATGTGGAGAAGTCAAAGAGGGGGCGGGGGCAAAAAGAAAAGGCACATATGTAGCATCCTCATACTCCTATTTTCAAGTGAACTGGCACACCCTGGATGTAACACGCTGTATGCCGTAAGCGTTCTTCAGGCTGCTCTAGTTTGGCTGCGCAGAGCCCATGTGATCAGTGCCAGCCTTATGCCAGATGTCATCGTAACCCAAATAACACGTAAGGCACCGCACAGCACAGCTCTACACACTGACCACAATTTCTGTCAAGGTGTTGCTGACGCAGGAAGAAACGACTATAACCTCGGGGGCGCTGCAGTTTGTCACTGAAAAACAATTCACGTTTGCCAAAGGGCAGGACACTTTTTCCTCCTTTGCCCACTCTCACACTTGAATGATCCGCAAATCTCTAGTATCCCAAAAAATGGGGCAGTTTCCTTCACAGGATAATTAGCACTACGCCAGGCAAACCCGATGAAGACGATCTCTTCTTTGCTCCAGTTCTCCTGACTTAAAGGCTGTTACACCTTAGCGGTGGTCTGAATCATTCACGGCACCCTGGGCTGCCTAACCCCCCGTTATCACCTCATTTTAACGAAGAGCTCTTATTTCTTACCCTAATTAGAACCACATCTGCTGCCTCGATGGCTACGTCAGTACCCGTGCCAATAGCAATTCCCACGTTGGCCATAGCAAGAGCCGGGGAGTCATTGATGCCATCTCCAACCATGGCCACCCGCTTCCCTTCGTCTTGCAACTGTTTCACTTTGGCCACTTTGTGGGAGGGAAGAACCTCTGCGAACACTTTGGTGATGCCAACCTGAAGAGAGAGAAAGGACAAAAACAGTCCTGCAGCTTTTCTACCAGCTACCAGAGCTTCTGCCGTTAATAATCGGTGTTATCACTTGAGCTGAAGACCAAACCCAACTGATACAAAACCTGCTCTGCATTCAAAGCTGATGCTGCTTCCATTCAAAAAGGCTTCTGTTATTCTCCTCTTATTCTATTCCCCTCTTATTCTGAATTTGTTTACTTTGCTATTTTTCAAAATACACCAGTTCTACACCACCCACAGCAGGAACAACGTGACGACAGTTTACCTGAGAGGCAATCGACCTTGCTGTTTTGCTGTTGTCACCGGTCATCAGGACGACTTCTAATCCCATACTCTTCAAGGTGTAGACGGCCAGCTCAGCTTCGGGTTTCACAGTATCAGCAATAGCTATCAGGGCACAAAGCACTCCTAACAGAACAGACAGAAAGAATGTGTTGGTAACAACGAACTTTATTGCCTTAGGAAAAAAATGTAACTTCTTTTCCCCTCAGTAAGACCAACTCCAGAAAAAGTATCAACTGTAAAAAGCAGAATGAGAAGAGATATCAGCATAGCAATGCTTAAGGCAATACAGAACACAGACTGTCCAACAAAAACAAGAAAAAATTCACTTTTCCTCCTCCGTTCCCCTTCGCTCTTTGAAGTCTTCGTGTTACGTCCAACTCTCCTGTCAACTAAGGCAGGCAGGAAGAGGTTTCTCACACGAAAGTGTTACAGAACTAGCTAATGATTCCTTTTCAGTTGGTTATTCTGCTTCAGGTATAACTGCTATGACATGGCTATTTATTACTTCCTATTTAAGTAGTGACAAATCAACCTCTCAATTTAAAAAAAAAAAAAGAAAAAAGAAAAAAGACAGCATTGAACTTACCATCGACAGCTGCCAGAACTGCTGTGCGACCTCTCCGCTCGTGTTCCGTCATGGCTTTATCAACCTCGTTTTTAACAAGGAGGCCATTTCTAGTCATCCATTCCCGGTTCCCAATGAGAACAGAGTATTTCTGAGAAGTCACGGTAGCTGAAGGAAGAAAATACAACCCTGCCATCACACGTGGTTAACCAGGAAGCTTCCCTCCAGGTAATGCTAACCCAGGTTCTCCCAGTACGCACTGAAAAATCGTTACAGAGAACCCAAAGAGAAAGGAAGTCTCGATACTGCCCTGCCAAGACAAGCAAGACACCAATATTTTTCAAGAATGGGTAGTTACCACATCAGTGGATCAAGAATCACAGGTCAAAGGACAGTAAAGGACCCAAGATAGTTGGAAGATCTAACAATGACCTGTTCTGGATGGAAAACCAGTCACACATGCAGATGCACATGGTTTTGGCTACCAAATGGTAACTTGGGCTGAAGCCAACTGAAAATAGAGCACTGAAAGACAATTTCTTTGCGGATTTCCAGCCCCATATTCAACATAAAGGTTCAAATTCCATTTAATCAAAATGCCCCAAGTGAACATGAAACAAACTAATAAGCAACTCGTTCATGTGTGTCTCAGTTTTCCATGTTAAATTATCCATTTATTCTATAAATCTGAGTTTACTTACTTGGTAGTTCTGCATCAATAATCAAAGCAGGCTGTGCCGATTCATCCATATTTTCCTCGATTTTCACAAGTGTCATATTTTTGATATTGTTTTCTTCAACCATTTTATTTTTCCTGTAGAGCAACGCTTCAACATTGGTGACTTTACAACTAATGCCGCAGCCTGGAACTACCTGAAAATCCGTACATGTCCCAAGGGTTTCCGAATCCAGTTCCTAAAAAGAAAGGAGGCAAACTGAGAAAATTTTTAAAGTATCTAGAAGCACGCCACATTTACAAACCTCACAGAATAAAGCGCAGCCTGACTCTGACAGGAACAGAAAAATATTCAATCAGTCAAAGCAAAAGTCTGAGTATCCACTGCATCTAATAATGGTTTTAAGTGATTTATTTAGCTCCACAATTTTCAGCTTTCAAAACTGAATACATCTAGCACTTCCTGAATACTACAAGCCTACTCATACGTATTAAGTACTTCTGTGTCACAAACTGCTTTTGTCCCGTGGAAGTAACTTACCTTTTTGCAGTATTTTGTTATCGCTACTCCCAGAGGGTGCTCACTATTGCTCTCCGCAGTCCCCACTATGGCCAACATCTTATTACGTGGCAGTTGGTTACTCTCCACTAGAAACTTCACCTGCATCACTTCCGGGGTGCCGTGAGTGATAGTACCCGTTTTGTCAAACACCACCACCTTCACCTGCGGCAAAACGGGAACACTTCAGTCAAGGAACAAAGCTTTAACGTCCAGCTGCCCAGGAAAGCCACCCGATTCCAGCGAGCTCACCCGTCGGTTAGCGACACGCAACGATGAGCCGCTCGGGCAGCAACGGGCCAAATGCCACCAAGAGCAGCTTGTCAAGTTCTTGTACCGAAAAACCTCGTTCCTCACCTTATGGGCCATCTCCAGGGGCTCTCCGCCTTTGATGAGGATGCCGTTCTGAGCTCCGACTCCAGTGCCAACCATCACGGCTGTCGGGGTGGCTAATCCCAGAGAACAAGGGCATGCAATACACAGGACTGTGATAGAGGCTTGGAAAGCAAAGCGGATTATCACTTCGGCTGCAGAAATGCTCTTATTGTAACCCTAGTGACAGAGGTTTATTTTAGTAATAGAAGACATCAAAAAACAGAAGCAACATATTCAACAACACAGTGCCTTGGACCCTAACAGAATCTGCAAATACATGAGCTGAAGGATTAATATTACAAGTGAAGCACAGGCAAATTATGCAAAAGCTAAAATTAATGACTAATTAACTAGTGACTAAGTTCTGTTGTATATTGCATATGCTTCCAATGTCTTTTATTTATAGGGCTTTTTCCCTAAATAAGGTACCACTTGCTGTAACTCTTTTACGCTGTAACATAATAGAAGATACTGCTGTAACGTGATAAAAGATACTCTATCAACAATGGATACAAAACTAAAGAATCTGGATATGAAGACTGCTTTCATGGAAACAAATTCCATTCAGAAATAGCCACGAACCAAGAAACTTGGGATCTAAGCAATCCTAAGATACAAAGTGGGATCCTGATCCTCCTCCTCTGGCAGCTGTAATGAAGCTGAACTCCACTGATCTCCAAGGTGAATTTGCACAGAGCTACGCTAACAACACTAGATGCAGAAGTTTGTGACACAAGAGACTTCTTTTCCCCACAGAGAAGGAAAGGAAATTGGGAAATTTCGATGTTGAGTATTTAATTTTTTTTTTATTTATTTTTTAAATACAGACTTTCAGGAGTTGATTAATTACTGCAGATTCTCTTTAAGCATAAATGTAGGAGTGATACAGTGTAAAAAATGTATAATATGAAAAAACCCAAAGCAATACTACTATTATAATATATAAAGTGAGCAACCGCCTGCAAGGATAACTCATATAAGGAACAACCACAGTCTAATAGACTTGTAGGCCAACTACTTTTTAAATATTTCAGAAGGTGCTTAAGGAGACTTACCAGAAAGTATTTTTCTACTATTTCAAAATCCACAAATCCAATTATAATCCAGGCGAAAAGGGTAACCACCGAGACAGCCACAATAGCAGGAACAAAGTAGCCACTAAGTTTGTCTGCAAACTGCTGGATTGGAGCCTAGGAAGGAAAACACATCAGCTGCAGCAACATCGTGCTGAACTCTCTCCTGTGCCTTCGGCCACAGAGAGAATCACAGTTTCTGCTTGCACCACGCCTCATCGTTCCACATTTACTTAATAAGATGATGAGACTTGAAACAGCCGAACGTATCAAAGTCCTTATTCAGCAAAGTACTTCATTAGGCATCCCCAACTCACATCTGAACAACCCGAACCACTCGTCAAATCACCCGATGCCTAACCGGTGAGACAAACCCCAAGGGCTCAGTTGGATAATGCTCTACCTTTGAGGTCTGGGCCTCCTCCACAAGTTTAACGATCTGGGAAAGGGTTGTATCAGCTCCGACGTGGGTTGCCGAAATCAGCAGCGATCCGTTCTGATTAATAGAACCTGCAATAACTGTATTGCCAGGTTTTTTAGTCACGGGCATCGCTTCGCCTAAGGACAGGTCAAGGACAGGCACTAAGATACACTTTTCAGCAACATCTGCCACCTCCTAACACGCCGTTAGAAGAGCGAGAACATCAGCTCGAACTTCTTTGTGCGTGTTTAAAGGGAAAGGAACACATTTTTAGACTTGCAAAAATCAAACGCTCACCAGTGATAAGAGATTCGTCCACCATAGAGTGTCCTTCGATAACACGACCATCCACAGGGAATTTGCCTCCCGGAATCACTTTGACAATGTCGCCTCGTTGAACCAGCTCAACATCAACTTGCTCTTCACTAGAACGATTTAGTTTTGAAAGAGATTGTTAACTGAAATTACCTGGGCAAAAGGACTTGTCACTATACACAAAGCCTCCTCTCATCAGTTGACATTGTTAACTTACACAAAAATTGTCCTAAGAAAGGCCATTTTAAAGAGCATGACAATTCATTTATCATAAATTTTACTGTCCAGTTGAAAAGAAATCCCCAAATTTTCTTATGAGAGCAAAAATAGCAAGATGCCAACACAACAAATCACAACAGCGTTACTATTTCTGCATTTTAACATTTATATCTGGCAAACTTGCCAGCAGATCTGATGTTATTTGCTTCACAGTTCTATAGAATGGTAACATTTGTCTGTGAATTAAGCATATTAACAACAAAAAAGGAACAACAACAACAACAAAAAACAAATGACAAAGCAAGATACCTTAAAAGAACGTTATCAGGGCCCAAGGTAACAATAGTAGCTTCAGTAGCTTGTAATGAAATTAGTCTTGCCAGTGCTTCTGATGTTTTACCCTAGAATAATAATTTTCATATTTTTCTGACTATGCTATTGAAAAAAAATAAATTGCTGGGTAAATGACAACTGTGTATGTTGCAATTTACCCCATTAAGAAAACTTTCTGCAAGCAGACTTATATTAAAGTCATTTCAGGTTGTTACTCGTTCAGTTAGTGAAGGTGATTTTACAACAAAGGAAGTTAAAAGAAGCTTTTTTTAAAAGAAAAGTCCCACGAAAGAAGTTACACAACATTCCAAAATGATTCTTAGTGTCTTGCAGCTTTTCTTTTCCTTACCTTTGCAACGTGCTCTAGCCACCGGCCCAACGAGATGAACACGAAGAGCATGGGAGGGGTGTCAAAGAAAGTTACAGGGTTTACTTTTGCCTTCTCAGCCATCGCGACCAGGAGAATAACAAACGAGTAGATGAAGGCAATGGAAGTCGCCAAAACGATGAGCACGTCCATGTTTGCAGTTCTGTGCTTCAGCGCTCTGTACGCCTGGATGTAGAAGTGCCAGCCTCCAAACATCTGGAAGAAGAGCATCAGTCGCACTTTACACACGCGTTTGGAACACACAGTAGCAGCATTTTTGTAAGAGACACCTGTTTGATTTGTGTTTTTTGTCTTCTCTTCCTGAACAAAAAAGCCCAGCTCCAGCCGAGGGCTACGATCTGGACCACAACATTCTCAGGTCTTCTCACCTCCCACCAGTTCCCTCCAGCTCCTCCAGCACCCATCAGTGCAGCAAGGCAGGCTGCCTCGGGTGCTGCCCACCCCCAACAGGGCCCAGCACCCCTCCTTTTGGCAACAGCAGGAGCAAGTAACGACCTCAAAAGCATTTTGAAACAACTTAATTACAGTCACTTTCCAAATTTAATTTCATTGCCTTCTGTTCCGAGTGTTTAAGGCTCCCACAATAGGAGTTGTCCTGTTCTCACTTACCTGTACAGGTACGCAGAGTAAAAACGACAGAAAATTCATAACAGACAGTCCTGGCAGGAGCTGGTATTCCAGGACCATAGAGGAGTGAAGGGTTTCCATCTCCTCGCTGCTCATGTTGCGATGCGCGTGAGCATCTGAAAGCTGACTGTCCATAACCATCATGTAAATCATCAGCCCCATGACAGGAATGCAGAAAACGAGACTCACAACAAAAGACCTTTTCCACCTCAGGTTGAAAAAGAAAAGAAAAAAAAACAACTTGTTTTGCAGTCGAGTGCTGGGGAGCATTTTTTCTAGGGTGTCTGCACAGTCACAGAAAGAATTCGAAACTTTTGTGTTCGTAAAAAAGCAGAATCAAAGATATTTAACAAATCTAGGTATGTTCGTGAGTACTTACTGCCTTATCTCCTGTTTGTGATCTAGATGACTAGCAGATCTATCTTTTTTGACCAACGAAGTAGTGAAGCCTAAATCCTAAGGAAAAAAAGAATAAGAGAACAGTAGATTTTTAATGACACTTGGTGTTCATGTAAAGTTACTGCCAGGTTATCGATGGTGCCGGCCTTACACATGATTTACTTAATTGACGTTTCTGATATGATAGTTACAATTATTTAGTTACTTTGCAAAGAGAGAAAAGCAATCGGATGTAGAAATCAACCTTTCTAGAACATCGAAATGCTATTCTACGATGTGGCTTTCCAAAACGGTTACTCCTGAAGCACAGTAGTAGAGAAATTGAGGGATAAAGCCAAGGAACCTACTTTCCCCTCTCTCTTGCTACAGTACTCATGGATGTGCTTTATTTTTCTGCACACTTCAACTCTAACATTTAAAAACTTCACCCAAGTCATAGCAGAGCATTGCTTTTGACTCAAAACGCACATATTATCGCAGAAACCTGCACTAAAAAAATAGCAGGTGGCAGAAAATAGACAGATTTGTTTTTTCCCTTAACAGTCTTCCCTTCTGTTTCCGAAGTACATAAGTCTTTAAAGGACAATGGATATTGTATGAAACTTACCTTTATCACTTGTATAACATCTCGAGGACCTATAATCTCAGGATCATATTTAATGTGCGCTTTGTTGGTTGCAAGAGCTACTGAGCAGTACAGGACACCATTGGTCTTCATCAGGGTGGATTCTATTTTGTGCACACAAGAAGCACATGTCATTCCTCTCACCTGCAAAATAAAGGATCTCTCCTATTATCAAAACCACTCGATAAAGGCATCTTAAAAAGTAGGAAGAGTGCTTATGACAATCCTGAATTACTTATTGCATATTTCTAAGTCTGAAGCAGTGAGATGGAGCTCTCTGGTTAAGGGCGAGAGCGCTACAGAGGAAGCGTAGCCTAGAGATGAGGTTATTAAGCAATGCTGGCTCTTCAAGATCAGAGCTGGGACACACTGAGCTAGACTCAGGTACAAAAAACAAATAAAAATATTTCTGCAATAGGCACAGTGATCAAAAAACTCACAGGGATATTTCTCTGACTTCAGTGTAGTAGTGGTGAGCCAGCACAGGTCGCATGACAAGATATCGTTTGTGATACGTACCTGATGTGCTCTTATACTTTGCTTTTTTGCAAATTAAGCTCTATTATACGAGTACCACTTCAGGAAGCGGATGCTTACGCGAGCACATCCAACAGATAAGAGTAACAAAGGTGAGGTTTTCATTACTAGCTTACAACAAGTTCCAGGATTCCATCTCCTTCACCACAGTTTTCCATCACGGTAGCTCCAAATCCCAGCTCCTGTATGAGCTCTGCAATAGCCGAAGGGTGGATGACGGCAGGATTATACCGTACTTCTGCCTTTCCTGCCATCAGGGCAACAAGTATCGAATGTATTCCTAGAAAACACAACGTGAACGGCAGATGATGTTCAAGGAAAGCACTGCGCTTGCAGGAACGGGCTGGCACAATTTATGAAGTTGAGCTATCTACCACACTGCAGGTCCACGTAAAGAAAAACGTCGTCATTTTTGGAAGATACATCGAGAACGCAGTAAAAACACCCAAGTGTAGGTGTGACAGATGAAAGCATTACTCCACGAGTTGCATGTTTGTAACAGTCTAATTACGAACATGCCAGCTATGCTATGTGAAAAGATGATCTGCTTTTACTAAAAGAAGTTCCTCTAAAACACAGTCCTACGTATTTTTCTAATCTGCATTTACCATTTCTAAGCCGTTTCTTCAAGACAGATCACGTATGAGAACGAGCAGATCTAACAATATGCAAACCTAGTGTACGCTAAGTGAAAAGAATTGATATTCATCCATTTTCTAGGACGAAGAAATTAAATTCAAGGTTAACGTGAAACACACCCATCCTCATTGCAGTAATGCAACAGTCCACGTTAATGACTCTTTATTACATTACAGTCAAGCAACTATTCGTTCTTGCAAATATAATCACCACATGGACAGAACCTGTCCTGACTCACAGAGCTAAAATTAACTTATGTCTCTTTAATCCACATTAACACTGTCCCTGCCTAATAGCTCCTAATAGCACATAGGCTTCTGCCTCTAAGGGGCAGACCTGGGTACATCCCTCCAGTAGAAAAGACACCATTTAGTTTCAAAAGGATAAATTTGATCCCTATATTCTCTTCAGAGCACTGCAACTCCTGCTGCCAGGGAGGCAGCCGCTAGCCAGCACCGAGCACAACGCAGAAAGAACGGTGTTGTTTTCATCCCACGAACCAAGAGCGAGCAGATCGTGTTCCTACCCGTCGAACACACCAGCAACGGCACCTGACAGCCCATCCATTGCAAGGGCTGTACAAAAGCTAGCTGCATCCTCTAGAAGAATCACAAAAATCACAGAACGCTCGGGGTTGGAAGGGACCTCGAAAGATCATCTAGTCCAGCCCTGCTGCCAGAGCAGGAACACCCAGAGCAGGTCACACAGGAACGCGTCCAGGAGGGTTTTTAAAGTCTCCAGAGAAGGAGACTCCAAACCCTCCATGGGGAGCACGTGCAAGAGCTCAGGCACAGCCTGTGCCAGGGCTCTGTCACCCTCACAAGGAAAAAGTATTTTCTAATGTTTTTGTGGAACCCCCTGTGCTCCAGCTTGCACCCGTTGCCCCTTGTCCTGTCATTGGACATCCCTGAGAAGAGTCTGGCTCCCTCCTCCTGACACTCACCTTTTACATATTTATAAATATGAATGAGGTCACCTCTCAGCCTCCTCTTCTCCAAGCTGCAGAGCCCCAGCTCCTTCAGCCTTTCCTCCCCAGGGAGATGTTCCATCCCTCCATCATTCCTGTGGCTGCGCTGGACTCTTCCCAGCAGATCCCTGTCCCTCTGGAGCTGAGGGACCCAGAACTGGACACAATATTCCAGATGTGGCCTTGCCAGGGCAGAGTAGAGGGGCAGGAGGACCTCTCTCAACCTTCTAATCCGCCCCAGGATGCCATTGACCTTCTTGGCCAGGAAGGCATGTTGCTGGCTCATGGCCACCCTGCTGCCCACCAGCACCCCCATGTCCCTTTCCCCTGCGCTGCTCTCCAACACATCAGTCCCCAAAAACGCTCAGAAATTTCACAGATTACACCCGGGTACAACTTACCATCTTCTCTCCTCAAATTTCTCTCAATGTTGGCCACGCACGAAGCACACGTCATTCCCGTCACTTGGACGTAGCACTTGGACACAGTCTTTGCCTCTTGCCCAGCTGGCGACGTTTTGGCGGGAGGCTTGGCTCTGTGAGATTCCAGCGGCGCTTCGGGTGAGGGCTGAGCTGTCGCCACAGGCAGTTCTGTCTTCGCTGAAAAAGTGATCACAACTCCTGACGTTATGAACAGTCGTTGCAGTGAGGTACGAGCTGGTACTTCACCAGCCTTAAATAACGCTGCTGTAAATTTAGTCCAAAAAAGGGTAATTGCACGTCTTGTCAATCAAATTCATTCGTCATTTAAGAGTAAGCGATAGAAAACAAGACAAAGAGTTGACTTGCTGTTTCGTTACTATTTTTCCTTTTGCCTTTCTCCCTGTTTGCCCGCTCTGTTGCACATCCTTTGCCCTCTCTTACATGGTAAGCTAAACCTCTGCCTTGCAACCTTCGTTTTACACACAATTTTATTAACTTGACCTGAGGCACAAAGCTAAACTTGTAAGCAACTTCACATTTCATATGCAAAGTCAGTGGTTTTTCTATCTTGGCTGGTACCAAATCCTAACCAGAATTGCCCAATGCTTTTAAGTTGAAACGTTTAACATGTCATTACCTGATAAAGATGCATCAAATCCCATATCCTCTATTGAGGATCGCAACTCTTCCGGGCATGTTTGCAGAGGGTCGTATTCTATAGTCCCGCTACGATTTGCGAGGGAGACGTGAATGGATTTCACACCTGCCTTCTGGGCTACGGCCCCCTCAATGGACTGCACGCAGGAGTTGCAAGTCATTCCCTCGATATTTATCACGACAACTTGAGTAAGCGGCTGGCCGGCATCCTTCCAGACCGGATGAGGAGACTTCAGCGGAGACGCCAGCGTGGGGAAAAGCCCTGCATTTTCATATTCGTCGGCAAGGCTGACTTTAAATGTCTCTGGAGACACCGCCTCGACGGCTCTTCTCAGTACATCTACGTTAATTAAGTCGGGGTTATAGTCTATAACAGCAGATTTCTTCTCTAACGAAACGACGACACTCGTTACTGACGGGAGTGCCGACACGGCGCTCTGAATGTTGAGGACGCAGGAATTGCAGTGCATGCCTTCAATTCGGAAGACGACTGTCTTTGCATCGTTCACATTCGAGTTTTCTTTTAGCGCTGCCTCAGAGCCTCTTGCCTGAGTATTCCTCAGCCTTTCCAGGTCAATAGCGCTGAGCTTGAGGGGTCTAGGCTGCTTTTTCAAAGATGCTGTGAAACCCGCAGCTTCAATTTGATGTATAATTTCTTCTGCTGTAATTAGGTGAGGCTGGTAGACAATGACAGCTTCCTGATTGTCCAGGGACACTGCAAATCAATCAATAAAAAATAAGTGTGTGTTACTGTCCTAAGCATAAGCAGCACATTGCCCTAAGAGCAAGAGATCTTGTCAAAGCTTTCCGAGAATGCTTTAAATGCTCAGAAACATAACTGTGACAGAAAAGAGATTTCATTAGTTCGGTAAATATCAAACAGTTTAGGTTTCATCTGGTATTTTCAGCAATACCCAACTCCTACTTAAATTTATTGCTCTTTCCCAAACGGTCTTACTACTTCTTACTATATTTATCCTTCTATCAGGGGTCTGTGGCAATGTATTTATGCGAAAGCTTTATATACAGGTAATTTTGTATTGCCTTTTAGATAAAATCACCTATATGCCAATATTCATGTTTTTATTGAATGGAAAACATCAACTAATATTAATTACAATACATAACAAGACACCTGGTATCAGAGACTTCTATACCTGGCAATAAAGCTAAGGAACACGATTACTCCAGGCTTTGTGCCAAAACATAAAGCAAATACAGTCACACATGGAGCAGCAACAGCTTCACCACAATCTGGGCCTCTTTCCTCTCTGCTGGTCCAGAGTGAACACATAATTAAGTACCAGGTACCACAAAGAGCAACCGTCACACTAATCTAAATGCCAGAAAACAGTAGGATCATCTTCAATTTACGTAAAAATACACAAAAAAGTTTTACCTTTAATCCGCTGAATTCCTTGCAGTTTGCCAACCTTCCCCTCAATGGTGCTGGTGCAGGAATGACACGTCATCCCCGCTACTTTCAGGCGTAGCACGACGCTACTCGCTTGAGACCAGCCTGAATCCTCACAAGTTCCAGGAGTTGCCTCCGGTGCAGAGATATTTAAATCCACCCCTGGGACCATCTGGATAATCTGCTTGCCGTTTGTAACGGACGAAATAAAAGTCACCACCGCGGTTTTTTGATCAGAGGACAGTTTGACATCCACAATACCTTTGTTCTTTAGTAGCGCGCTACAAATCTGTTTAGACGTTAGAGCTGGCTGAGCGGGGATTGTAAGAAAAACAGAGTCAGGTAAAACAGGTTGTGGGTTTGCATCTGTCAGTGTAGCATCAAATCCCATGTCATATATTGCTTCCTGCAGCGTTGCTGGAGTCTGCAGTTTGGAGTCATAAATGATGACTGCGTTCTTATCCTCTAGAGATACCTTACAAGGGAAAAAAGAACGAAAAAATAAATAAAATTTAGCAAGCTGCAATACTAAGAGATGAGAATTAATACCCTGCATGAGATCAGAAATAGCTTTTACTTGCATATTTTAGTGATACTTGTCTGGTACGATTTTATCCAGCACTGCTCACTATGAAAAGTAAAGCCACACCAAGAGTCACCAAAAAAATAACTTCTGCTCATCTATGCAACAACACAGCTAGAAAGTACAGATTTATTTATTTTTCTCCTCCACCAGTTTCAGAATCTTCTACAAAGTCTGCCTGGTCACTTTTACTTATGACACCCAGACAGCATCAACACGTTTAATGAAACTTGCAGAGCCAAACTCTCTTGAATTATGATGACTAACTTAATTAAATCCAAAAAGGAAAACAGCCTACAGAAAAAAATTCTAATCACATGTACAATTCTGCAGTTAGCAGTAATTACCCCTAGGCTACAAGGATGGAAGAAAACACTCTTTGAAAAAACCCACAGATTTCAGTAGCCGTGAAAGGAGTCCAGCATTTCTAGGCATCTTAGGCAGAGGCTGTAAAGTTGCAAGGAGCAATAAAGTACGTCAGACTTCAGAGGAAAAAAATCAGTTTCAAAATCTGATCTATGACAAACATCAGAGAAGACGTTTTTCCTCTCTCTGTACATTTTGGTGATCCAGAGACGTCCTGATTTGGTAGTAACCTTTCACATCAGATGGTACAAATATCCTGAATTTAATTTGCTCCCAACTGATGAATCAAACACAATTACTGCAGTTTCCAAAAGGGAAAGCCGACGCCTGCCAGAGGCCCAACACATTATCATTCAATTCTATCTTCCCTCTGGGCAAAGGTACAATCGAAAGACCACAGTCATGATTAAATTAGTCCAGTTAAATCATTTTAAGAACCACCTTTCTCCATTTCTGTTACAATTATGGGTCTCAGCAGAATCAGCAGCATGGACATTTATCGGTTTCATTGCAGTTGGAGGCAAAATAACCAAAACGTAGCTCTGTTTGTCTGTATGAGCCGTCCAGCACTCATGTCCCCTGCTCACCTAAGTCATAATCACTAAACAAAACCCTGTTTTACTATTTTCAGAGATTTTTTTTCTGAAACAAATAATCTAACTGAAGTCATGATGCGTAAGGAGGATAATTACTAAACAGGACCTCTTAAAGTTTCTTACAGTCCTCTCCTACTCGCACTAAGTTTTTGTAATACATTTTCTCGTCAAGAATAGTTTTATAAATAGCATTCAGCCTTGGGACAAGTATTCACCTTAAAACCTAAATACCTCTTAATGCTGTCTTACTTCATGCCTTTTGTAAAGGACACTATGGGATGCTCATTGCCTTCAATCAAGTTAAAGCACGAATCTCTCCTCCTATCTCAAGTCCTCTGTATATTCTCGGAACAAGCTAAGCCATAAAACTGACAGGAATCTCCCAGCTCTTAAACTGTTTCCATTGTTAAAATGACACATCGTGGAGGAATAAACCGCTCACCTAGAAATACTCTACAGTCTGATATTCTGCCCATGATAGAAAAAATACCAACAAAATATTGGTATCTCCTCTGAGCTAAGAAAAAATAGTTAAAACCCAGTCAGATCAAGGAAGTCTGGATTACAGGCAAACCAATGAACTCCGTTATCCGTTATTTCAACACTGCACTTCTGCCGCTCCTTCTCTCTTTTCCTCACGGACAGCACACAAAGGGAACTTCTAACGCTCGACGAGGCTTTCCTTTGTCACCTGCATTACCTGCTACTCTTACTCCACCAACCAGAACAAAACACCTTTATTTTTCATGGTGGATCAACCTGCACACGATTAACTGGACACCTCAAGCCCACAAAAGCTTTGGAACCTGTGCAAGGGACCTCTGTGTCTTGTCAGCCTGGAAGAGAGCAAATACTGACATTTATTCAGTTCGAGGAACGAGGACAGCTTGCTTCTGTCACCGGCATTAAGTTCTACATCTTTTGCTAAAACCCTTCCTGTTCTAGCCTTTCTTTGACACTTTCCTCACTATTTCACAGCACTGAATTAATCGTAAAGCAGAAAATTACTCGAGAGCGACAGGTAATGACGTAGTTCTCGCTGCAGAGTAAGCACTGGTTTTACAGCAGAAGCACAGCAGCGCACTTCTAACACCAGCTTCCCGTGAAACGTGCAGAATATACTCATTCCACAGATTTTCCTCCCTTGGTGCATACTTTATCATGGTTTCCCATATGAGAAAATAAGTGTCGGAAGAAATGGCGATAGCGTTACTTACTTTAATGTCATGGATACCATTCATCTTCCCGACGTGCTGTTCAATGGTTTGAACGCAGGAATTGCACGTCATCCCCTCCACACCGACGACTACGGATTTGGCCTCCATGGTGGAATTCTACTCAAGTCTGCTCATTGCTTTTGGCCTAAAACAATTAAGAAACGTGTTCTTAAATCATTTCACAACGAATTAAGTCAAAACAGGGATGAGGTACTTGACTAGGAGATGTGAAAATCTGAGCAAAGCTGATCAGGAAGGAGAACTTCAGGCATTTATTCCTGTAAATTCTTAAAAAGTAGAAGTGTTCTTAAGCATACTTAAAAAGTAAAAGCATTTATTATTTGATTTGCATTGCAATCCAGATCATCTAATTGCACGTGGCGAGCTGTGATTCACTGGTGTGCAAGATGAAGCTATAGAAAGAAGCAAGTAAGAGAGACACCAGCTCTTGGAGTACAAGAATGCTCGAGGACGGCACGCAAGCCACAGGTGATGATCGTGATTTTTCACACTTACATCTCGTACAGCATCCCGCACTAGCAAAACCAAGTGATATTGAAATCAGCCCTAGAAGGCACATCAAGCTTTTTCCACATCTCAATCAGGAAAGTCTAACTTCTACTCCTCTGAAGATCATAATTATTATTTTTGCCTATCAAAACAAGTCTAGTAAAAGTTACCTAACATAAATTAGATTAATTTGTAGAAATAATGGCAAATGCAAAGGACTTCTTTCGTCTAATGCATAAACTGTTAAGTAACACAAGGGAAAAAAGTGATTTCCAGATATCTTTTTTTAATCCTTTTGAAAATTTGCATTATTTTTTCCAACGACAGAGACGTTACTGACTAGGAAAACGTTCATAGTCAACTGCTTAATGTCCGGCCGCAGCAGAAGCAACTGCAAATTCCAATGATTAACTGAACTAGTTAAGCACACGCTTAACTTGTTTTTTTTACCCTGGGGACTTAACTTGGAGAACTAAATTATAGAGAGAAAAATAATGGTTTTATTTTTAAAGCATTGCACCATATACAAAGCACCTTCATCATCAATTAGTAAAGAATTTTAGGATTTGATGAGGCCAACAAATGGCAGCCCCTCCCCATTTGATTTGACAGCTACATATTTGCAATACAAGAAGCCAAGAGGCCTCAATTCCACTGTTGCTATTTTGTTGAATGAAGCAACAGAAAGAAAAAAATTCTACTTCCAACAGCCATTTCTTCCTGTGGAAAGGAAAATTAAACAGTGATCAAGCTGGAGGTGCCTGAGAAACTCAGATTCATCTCTTTAAACCATTTTTTAACGTGCTAATAGCAGCCTTTAAGTAAAATATCTGAAGCAAGATAAGTTTTGATGAAGTCAAAATTGAGTTATTTACAACCTCACTACCAAAAAAAAAGAAAAAATACCAGCAAGACAAAGTCATAACACCTGTAAAAACCCAGATTCTCACTTTACCCCAGAAAAAACACTTCAAGTGCTGCTACAGTCCAAGCTAAGCCAGGTATCGCAGCGTGAGAAAGCCCCGTGCACCACAAACACGCCCTGTGCCTGTGCTAGGATCTGTAAGGACACATCAGCGAGAAGCAGACACTGTTTCTGGCTCAGTGTGCAACTGGAGCTTTCTATACGTAATTATCCTGAATTGATAGCTGCTGACACTAACAGAGGTCAAAACTTGGCAAAAAAACCCCACCAAAACAACAGCCCACCACAAACGCCAGAGACAGATTTAACTACAGCCTTTGGACATTATTAAATTTCTAAACGGCTCAGTCCTACTTTACAGCTTGCTTTATTTATGGCAGCAGAGAGACAAATTAGTAATGCTGTTAAAAAGGCACCTGTGCGCTAAAAGGCTGCAAAGACCTATGAAAAAAGAGCAAACGGATGGCATGAAAGGAAGAAGCTGCACCATCTCATCCTTGGGCTTACAGAAGCGCTGCAGAACGCTTCACCGGAGAGCTGGTCCAACATGGAAGAACGAGGTTTTATGACGCTCATCAGCAAACATACATTTGAAAGCATGATATACGAGGCTTAATCACTGAGGGAGAAACTGCACATCTGTAATAATCGTCTGTCACACAGCTACGTGATACTCTAAACAGGTCGTAATTCATGTTGCTCAAGACTCTAACGAGTCTTGCTCGGTCAGCAGACTATGGAAACTGCTCTGAGGGACTTGGTTTCTACACAAGCTGGATGAAAAATAAATAAAAGTACACATTCAAAGCATTCTACTTCACTTCTAAAGAGTTCTGTAATATCCGAGACAAATTCTTCACAAATCCTTTTGCTTGTTTCTCTCCACTACCTTTTCAAGCCAGATTTTTGAAGAACACAAACATCCCCCTGGAAGAAGCAAATATTAGAAAGATAGCGCAGTTTATAAACCCTTGTTATGTGAGCGTGCTACGGTAACCCAGGCTCCTCATTCTTGAGCTGAATCTCAAAACACAAACGCAGGACAATGTGAAATGCATTATGCAAGTGCAAATGAGACGAGTAAAACAGTAAATGACACGTAATGGAAGCTTTGATTTTCCCAGACTGACACCTGGGAAGGGAAAAATCTTCAGGTCTTTTCTCAATAAACAAAATACACTGTAATTTTTTAGTTTCTAATCAAACTTTGTTTGTGCTCCCAGTGTTTCAAAATACATGCAACTACCACGTTATCAAACATGGAAAAAAAATATTTCTTGGTCTAGTACCTCTGAGAATACCATTCACTGAGTCTTTAAGTACAGAAACGCAATCCTCGGTGATGGCATAAAAGTTTTGGGGCACTTTATCCGCGATTCCCAGAACACGGATGCAGAGGCAACAGTTAAGGTGGGATTACTCTTACTCATTTCTGTGAGATTTTACCTCAAAGCATCGTAAATAACTATTTGCCCTTTCCCAGAACATTCATGCCATGTTTTATCGAAAACATTGGAGAAATGTACTTCTGTGCAGAGCGCTGCCACCACAAGGCAAACGCTAAATAAGGTGTTTCTAAGCTACAAGTTAAGCAGCTCAGGTGGGGTAAAAAAAAGGAGAAAACGCTCAGAGACTCGTGTTCAAATGGGCTCTTTTTCTCTGCCGAGCAGCGACGCTACAAGAGGTACCTTGGCGGGTCCGTCCGTAAGCGCTGTCTGTGCCCCGGGAAGGGACACGCAGGGATGTCCCCGGTCAGAGCAGCCCCTGGAGCTCCCGCCAGCCCTGCCCGCAGCCCCGAACGCCGCGGGGCCTCCCGGC